GTTGTATCAGATATTAAGCTGATAAGAACAGATGAAACGCTTTTATTTTAGTACAATGCATGTTCCACCGGGGACATTGCCCCCGGTGGTGAATACAATTTTAGTTTTAGCATTGAATGCTATACGCTAACATATAAATTTTGTGTTGCAGGGGACACCAAGCCCCCCCTGCTGGGCCAAGACGAACACAAGAAAATTCATGACTTTCCGCGTGGGCAGAACATAATAATACCATTGGGACGGCTAACAGGCCGCCCCAATACATCAGCACACTCTACCAACGGCTTACGTATATAATAATAAATATATCACAGATAAATACACAAATAAATAATCAATACATGTAATCCCCGCCGCTGCGGGGTATGCGCACAGCGCGTACATCTGTTTATATACTTATAACTAGTCGCGACATCCATCCTTACGTACACTTATCCGCACGACGCACACGTGTATACACAATAAAACAATGGCACAACATCCGCTGCATTCATTCACGCCAACACGTCCCTCCGGAGCGCAGGACCCGCCGCAGAATAAATAAATAAATAATACTACAACACAACACGCTAAAATAAATATACTAGTTACAATAAAAATAAGTATAAAATGCAATAAATATATACAATAAAATATTAACAAGCTTAAAATGTGCAGCCGCGGGGACGATGGCGACCGTTGCAGTCACCCCCGCCCCCGCGGCAGTCATACATCTCAAACTATAAAAATACAATATAAATTAAAATCAAAATGTGTCCCCGCGTGTATAGGGCGCTTGAATAAAAAGAAAAGTAAATAAATAATTTAAAATGCAGCAGCCGCGACGACGAGAGCGCCCTTGCAGCCGCACCCGTCGGCGCAGCAGTCAGAGCACTTCAAATAAATAAATACATAAAAGATGCGGGTCCCCCGGGGCAAGACGTGCCCTACGCGACATTCATTCAAACGAGTTAGGCACGAGAACCATCGTCCCCGCCATCCGCCCGCGCGCCAGTCACACGGCGACGAACCGCGCGAGGCGGAGAAACTTCTGGAACGCTACCGTCTACAGGCCGCGGAGGTGCCTCGTACTGGCGGACGCCGGACACGTGCTCCACGTATATATCCCGTGACCAGCGAATGGTATCCGATACCATAAGTCGGCGCATCATCGCCCCATACGCCTTGCTTACGCGCAGGAGCTCCAACACCGGCTCATTCCTCGGATCCCACGAGCCAAGGGCCCCGACGACGAAGGCCGTCACGACGACCCGGTATCCCCGCCGTTGGAGCGCTTCAGCCAAGGGCGAGTATTTAGCAACTTTCCTCGCCCTAGCCTCATCAAACGCCGCCCAACGGTTTTCGAAGGGAACCGTGACGTCGCATATGACGACGCTCTTCGAGGGCTCGTGCCTGACCACAAGGTCAGGTCGTAGCGCCCCGAGTTCCCCCTCGAGACCCCTGACCCGCTGGTTAACCGTGATCGACCCCGGCAGACGACAGGCCTTCCTGAGTCGCAGCAGGATCGAGTCGTGACGCCACTGGACGGCAGCAGAATGTGGTCCACAGTGACAAAGCACGTGGGGAAGGGTCTCAGCCACTTCTCCGCATCGCCGGCAACGCCTGTCACCCTCCCCCCATCTGCGCGCCCCATTTAAGGGGAGCACGTCAAGGCGGGCTCGGTGTACGAAGCGCCAATCAGCAAAGCGGGTGAAGCTGCCGCCACGCATGAAGTGATTGCTCACTCGTGCGCGCGACGAGACCTCGAACACCTTCCCCTGATCAGGTTTTGTGATCCACGTGTAAGTGTACCACTCTGCCACCGCCGCTCGCAGGCGCCCGATCACCTGGGCACGAGCCCCAGGTGGGATCTTAGTGACCCTGCCGCGTGGCCCGCGGCATTGGAGGACGAACTCCTCACGCTCCTCACACCACAGCCACCGAATGGCCAAGCGCTCAGATTGTCTCCGCGCAGCATTCCGGGCGCTCGACCAGAGCGAGGATTCCCCGCCCACCCTTAGCCTCCCCTCGAGCGAGCCCGAGAGGAAGGCGGCGACGTCACCGCACGTCGGGTGGGTGCCAATCCGGCGGCGAACCACTGCCCGCAGCGACGCCCAAGCCAGGTCCCTGACCGCCCGGTCGTCCGCCGTCAAAAGACGGAAGACGTGAGCGATCGTGAGGACGTCGGCGAGGTCAGCGAGCGGAAGCAGTCCACATCCCCCCCTGCTGGGAGGGAGGTAGACCACCTCCGCGCTGGCGCGCTGAGGGAGGTTCAGCCAGCCTTTGACTAACCTGCGGATCTGCAGGTCCAAGGCTATCAGGGGACGTTTCTCAACTCTGGCTCCCCGAAGCAAGAAGTCGAGCCGCGGCAACAGAAAAGTCGCCACGGCCTCCGACTTCTGCCACGGGGCAAGGAGCGACCGGTCAATCGCGCGGAGGTCCTCGCCCAAGGCCAACATAGCAGCATTAGGCGTTTGGTTGACGGAGAAGCCCGTCGGAATGCCGAGGTGCTCATAGGCCTCGCCTTCCGCCAGGGACTTCACAGTCCGGCCCTGGATGACGAAGGTCGTCGACAGGACCCTGCCGCCTCGCCCAGCACCGACGTGCAGGGTGGCACATTTAGCAGGGTTGAACCGCAACCCTATCGACGATGCTTCGCCCTCCGCGACTGCAAGCAGTCTTCGCATTTCGCCCGGGGTCCTGGAGACCAGTACCAGGTCATCTGCGTAGGCCATTACTGACCACCGCGAGCCCAACAGCTCGACCCCGAGACCGGTTTCGGTAACTGCACGCAGCACCGAATCGATCACGAGATCGAACACTATGGGGCTCAGCGGGCATCCCTGGCGTACACCCGAGCGAATGGGAATGGGCGCGGTGAACCCGTCTCTGGTTCGCACACGCGTAGTGCAACCATCGTACATGGAGCCCCATATTGCTATGAGGCTCCGCGGAACGCCGGCTCGCACAAGGGCGCGGCGGATCGTGTCATGGGGAACCGATCCAAACGCGTTGGAAAGGTCAAGCCACGCCACTACCACCTCCCGGCGGTCCCTCCGGGCATCGGTCAGGATTTCCTGAAGGACGAAGTTGTGCTCGTAGCACCCCTCGTCCCTCAGGAAGCCCTTCTGAGCCGGACTTAGCTTTCGGTTTGCGATCGCCCAGTCGGTCAGGCGATCGGCCAACACCGCCGCGAAGAGCTTCGGGATCGTGTCCCCGAGCGCGAGAGGACGCCAGTTCTCCAACATGTCCCGATTTCCTTTTTTATACACCAAGACGGTGTTAGAGGTCTTCCACCTCGCGGGGACAGCCTCGAGCCGCAGGCAGGCGTTAAACACTGCGACGAGCAGCTGAGCCGTCGGATCCGAGACACGGAGGTCACGGTAGGTCAAACCATCTGGTCCGGGCGCAGAATTATTCATGCGCCGGAGCCTCCGGTCGACCTCTCGCTCCGTCATCGGTCGAATCAACTCAGCCGCTATCTCGTCATCGCCCGAGGCCTCGGGCAGCTCCGCAGGCGCCGCACCGTTCAGACTTCCCGCGCCGCAGTATACTCCTCTGAAGTATTCCGACACCCGCTGTGTGGATACGTCGCACGTATCCGCGGGGCCGGAAAGGACTTCTCGGACCGCTTTGCGACGGTTCTTTCTGAACAGCGCTTGTAAGCGCGCTGCTTCGCGTCCCGTTTCCGCGCGAGATTCTCTATCGAATAGAGGGCGTTCCGCCGGTGCGGACGCCCCCTCGCGTCTGGCGCCGTCCCCCGCCCTACCCGCTCCCCGCGCGTTATCGCCGGCCTCTCGCGACCGTACCGAACGACCACGAGGACGCGGCACGCCCCCGCCCTGCTCGCGTCCCCCGAAGAACCCGACGACTTGCGTCATCAGGCGCTCAAGGTCAGCGAGCGTACCCGCCGAGTCCGCCGCCGCGACGAGACGTCGCCTCTCGGCAGTCTTCTGTCGCGCCGTGAGAGGCGCAACAGGCGCCGCCACCGGCTCTCGTCCCGCCGCGGCCGGCGGACTCCGCGGGATTGCGGGCGGACGCGCGCCGCCCCTCGCCCTACTGGCTGGTACCGCCGTCGCCCCCATCCTCCCCGGACGCCCCTCGCCGACGGACGCGCGCGTTCCCCGTCGACCCATAACCCCGCGGACATCCCGTGGAGCACCCGAATGTACGGCGACGCACTCACCAGCAACTCCCCGACGCGTCGCATCCTCCGCGGGTCCTGCTGGCAGCGTCCTTCCGCTCCCCGTGCTCCTCGCAGCGACCCCCAGTAAGGGGGGATAATTCGCCACCGTGATGGGCGGCGGACTAGGCGCCGCACGCGCCTCCGTGCCCGAAGCCTCATCACTGGACGAGAGGCGCGCCCTCCTCGCTCTTCTCCGCGCGGCTCTCCCCTCGGCCACTGTCCACTCCTCTTCTTCTGAGTCCACTGCCGTGCCGCCGCCGACGGCGCCGCCCCCCTCGCTGCCGCTGCTGCTCGTGGTGTCGTCGACGACGCCTCCCCGGGTGGTAGTGGTGGTGGTGGTGGTGGTGGTCGTCCTCTGGGCGGGGCGCGGCCGGAGCGCCCTCCTGGACGGGACCTCCGCTTCGCAGAGGGCGCTCCCTGTCGCCCGGGGCCTGGTGGCGGGCGCCCCGGGCGATCCCGCTGTTGTAAACCGCGGCCCCGCGACGATCGCCGCGGTCGGTGGCGACGTATGCGCCGGCGGCGTAAAACGCGACACGGGGGGCGAAAAATACCCCCCGCGCGCGCCCGGGAGCCCCGTAGACATCACGGGACTCCCAGCCGCCGCCGTCACCACCGTCGCGGTCGTTAAAGTCGCCGGCGCACAACTCACGGGCGTATAGGCGGGCGGGCATGGTGGAGACCCGCCCGCCGCCGCCACGAACACACCGCGGATGTTCGGCGGTGTGACGGGCGACATGTGAGTGATGAGGGAGGATCTAGCCCCGACCGTGCACGGCGGTATGAGGGGCGATCCTCCCTGTGACGCCCGTGAGCATCCCCCGGTCGGCGTGACGCGCGACATCGCCGCCGTCGTCGCGGCCGACGAGACGCGCCTCGGGTCCGCACCGTCTTGCGGCGGTGAAAACCACTCTTGAGGCACGCTCGGCGGCCGCGAATCAGGCGGCGACTCGTAAAAGTCGCGCAGCACGCCGACACGTGAGAACGCGCCGGCAGGTTCCGACTCGCGAGTCGCGGCTCTATCGCGGGGCGCGCAGTTCGTGGCCGCGCCCGCTCGACTCACCGGCGTCGTCTCTGTGTGCAGCGGCGCTCGTGTCTCAACCAAAATGGCCGCCCTCGGTACACCGGCCGCTGTTCTCGACGTAGATGTTCTCGTCGCCGGTGCCCTCGTGACGGCCGCGTACGAGGGGGACACGGCGCTCCCTCCAGGGCGCGCCGCGGTGTACGCCGACGGCGACGGCGTCGTCGATGTCCGCCTCGTTGGCGGCGGCGGACGAAGTGCGGCAGTGGACCTAGTGCTCCTTAATGTGCGTGTTGTTGTGGCCGCGTGTGGTGTCCTCGTGGACAGTGCCGTGCCGCGCGTTGCCGCGCCTCGGGTGAGACGCCCCTCACCCTCCGAGGCAGGCTCCGGAGCCGCCCGCGTACGCGTCCGCACGCCCGATGTTCCGGCGCGCGCGACGGACGCCGACGGTACCGCGCTCGCTGTACATGGTGACGAGGTCGCCGCGGACACCGGCGACGCGACTGCCGACGTCGTCGTCGTCGCCGGGACGCGGGGGGACGAGCGACGGGCTGCCGGCGCCATCCCCCGGGCGACCGAGTGCTCCTTCTCAAAATGTTCTTTGACCCACTTTTGTGGGTACTTTTTGCCTGCGGGTGCGCGGTACCCGCATATGGAGCACTCGTATGTGAGTGTGTCGCCCGGGTGAAACGTTTTCTGATGGCGCGCTAAATGCAGCCCATCGCTAAACGTGCCCTTGTCCCCCTTTGCTGGTGCGCGGCGACACCCGGCCCAGCACCTGGGGCACGTAATGCGCTCAGGCACCGGGAACGGGATCACCACGACCTCCGGGCGATCCTCGGCCATAGTGAAAATGTGTGAAAAATGTGCAAAGTGCCGTACGAACACACGCGAGTGACGAGGCTCAGTATCGGTACGGCGACCGCGCTCGCCTCGGTTTTCCGCAGCACGTAATCGTACCCGGGTCCCCGCGACGAGCCAATGTCACTCGTACGTCACGCGCCGACGTCCCCGACACAACGCGCGCACCCGCACAGCCGAAAAATCTCTAATTTAATTGTAATTTGCAGATAAAAATCCGAGCCGGTGAGGTTATGTGTGGATCTGCCTGTCACTACCAGTGCAAGGTGAGGCTTCACCAGCGCGCGTCCACCAGGTGTCCGCAGCACTGGATCGTCCTCACGATGGAGATGACAGGCTTCACTTCCTGTCAACACAACCGCCGACCCGGATATGAGAGCAGAGAGGAAAGTCTCAGCGAGGGCCAAGTCAGCAGTCGCAGAGTCACCGCTGAGATCTGCCCACAGCAAGCTGAGGACTTC